ATCTTCGAGTTCCCTCTAATGCTATTTTAATTTCTATCGACGTTTCTTCTATGTATACCATCGATAACTCTACTGGTTCAACGGCAGTTCGTAAAGCTTTTAATAGAAACCCAGATCCAAACAGACCCGACGATGCAATTCTACAGCTTTAAGAGATTTGTCTTAGCCGAAACGATTTCACATTTAATGGTAAAACATATTTACAAACTTCAGGGACACCAATGGGCAAACGATTCGCAAACCTTTTAATGGCAGAGTGGGAACGTGAGGTGTTGCCGCTCTGTCCATTTGACCCACTTTTTTACGGACGCTTCTTGGATGACAGTTTTATGGTTTGGACTTATTCTATCGAACAGTTTTGGGAATTCTTTGAAATTCTCAACAACCACCATCCTTCTATCAAACTAACCGCAAACGTGAGTGACAAAAGCATAGACTTTCTCGATACCACTGTCTTTAAGTGAGATTCCAAAGCAGAAACATATAAACTGGATATTAAAGTGTATTTCAAAGAAACTGATACTCATCAACTCTTGCACAAGAGCTCCTTTCACCCTTTATCGAATTTGTACAAGATCTTCTGATTTCAACCAAGCTTGTACGATGTTTTCTCAAAACTGAAAGAGCGTGGGTACTCTAAACGATTTTTACGAAACATAAGAAATTCCACCTTAGCACAGATAGCAGCTAAAAACAGACTTTATGCCGAAGTACCTCCAGGTTTAAGAAGTGCTCCATGTTTGTCCAGTAGATGCAAAACATGTCCCTTTATATCAGAAACTCATTATTTTGTAAGAAACTCTACGAATAAAAGGTACCCGATCCAGGAACATCTAACATGTGAACATGCGACTGTAATATATTTAATTTCATGCAAGAAATGCCCCAAACAATATGTAGGAGAAACTAAGAATAATTTACGAACTCGTATTAATGCTCATAGGTCGGACATCAAATTAAAGAAAGGCAAGCCTGTTTCTAATCATTTCAACCTCGACGACCATTCAATAGACGATCTCACCCTAATCCCAATTGAGCGCATGAGTAACACGTCAAATTTGACAGTTTTTTTTATCAGATCTGAATGAAACTTGGTATGTGTATATATATATTTTGAAAAGATCTCATTTTGAATGAACAGTTTTTGTGCCTTTGACTAAAAGCACATCAAATTTGGCTTGTGGGCAAGATAGGGGCTAGAGTTTTTATTCGATCTGAATGAAACTTGATCATGTACTCATATATATAGATACGATCTCAGCTGAGTTCCACAAGGTTCTGTGGTTTTTACCAAACCATTAACAAATATAGCTTTCAACATGGACTGTCTGCCCACCTATTCGCTGACGATACTCGAGTCAACTGTATCTATCTTTTGAGATCCAACACAATTAGAATCTGTTAAGATCAAGACAATATATTGATGGCGCAATAGAAATTGTAAAGAAATTTAAAAACTATACAATAATGTACAACAATCCCTACTAGGTTGGCGTTAATATTGTCATATGGTCAGTATACATGGTGATGCTCAAACAGGTGCAAAAAAGTAGAACATGAAACTCCATTTCATTTTTAATCGTCATTTTTGTCCCGCTTTGTGATGGAAATGTGTGAACAAATGCCTTAAAACCACTTTAGACTAGCTCCCTGGAGTGACTAAATATTGGCCTCCGTTAGTCCTAGATTAGCTCTTAGTCAACCGTGAAGAATACCACATTTTAGACCATGAAATTGATCACAGATCAAAATAATCATAGATTAGGTTTAGTCCCAGATTAGGCAAATCATAGTTTACTGAAATCAGTGATCAAAATTTAAACAGCGGTGAGGAATATCACCTAAAACCTAAACCAAGAATATAGGCCTTTTAATTTAGTCTGAAAATTATTGAGTTCAATTTCAGCAAATTGCACAGAGGCAAAAGAAAAGTGTCGACGAACCATCGACCATTCTGGCATTGAGTCAAAAGATGGGCCGTTCCAAGAGACGAGAAAAGTAAGTTGTAAGAAAAGAATGCTATATTCCGAGAGTATGAAAAGTAAATATTTTTGGAATTTTTCCATTAAAAGAATGTTGTAAGCTTACTGATGCAACAGGCACATTATTCTGTTGCTAAAAATACAACTATGTACACAGTTCACTGAATCCGAGTTTTCTCTTGAAGACACTAATGTCTTTGAAGTATTAATCTTGGTCTAAAACGGTCACCTTCACGACTCCTATTATATTGCATGAACAAAAAACATGTTATACATTGAATGAGCTTACTCTACACGTTTTCGAGAAAACGCAGTTTGAACTGGGATTTTGAACACAATTAGCATTAGAGCACCTTGATAAAATGAGATGACCAGAGAATTGCTCGCCTGTGTAGGCAGTTTGTTTGAAAAATCGCATTTTGCCAATTATTATTGTATGAATTGAAACATTAACCTCAAAACAGTTTTGACAGTCTTACATTGTCTTTGGTTTGAGGGAAATAAAAAATAATTATTTAAAATTATGATTTTAGAGAGGGGAATTTTCACCCAAAATTTCAAGGAGGGAAGAGTGTTTTATTTCCACGGACCCGTAGGCATTCTTAGACAAATGGCGTGCAATTGAAAATCATATTTTGAATATTTGTGACAGAACTTAAGTTGCCGGAGAGTAGTGATTGACACAAGCTCTGCATTCTATCTGTTTTGAGAACTTACAGTGTCTCAAATATTAACTTTTCAAGCAGTTGAGTAGCATCAACAGATTTTTGGATATCTTCATCAGATGACATCGATTTGTGGTGAAGCCCTAGTTAAAAAATTAAAAATATTTTTAAAAGATTGCCAGTCAAGGTAATATACGCCCACTGCAGCTTTGATTTTGATTAAAAATATTTTATGAAATATTCAACCTTTGTCATACAGTTCTTGGGACTCTTTGGAGCGATACTGAATAATATTGAGTATGAATTATTGCCCTTGTTCTTGAAAACGTGTTCAATTTTAAACTCCTGAAAACTCTAGAAGGCAAATATTCAACATTCAGTGCGGTACTAAATAATAAAACCAAGCTAGAATTTGAAAACGTTTTCGAGGTCAATAACTCCTATGAAACATTTTTCGATTCTTTTGATTTTCTATAGGGTTGATACATGGGTGATACTTAAATAAACAATTTCACCAAGTTTCGTCTTCGTCTTCTAGAATGTTTACAAGCTAAAATTGAACAAGTTTTCAAGAACAAGGGCAGTAGCTGATACTAAATATTTTCAATTGTTCTGATTTTCAATAGGGTTTATTCTTCGGTGTTAACTCTCAAAGAAACTGCTAACATGATTAATAATATTCTTGCCGATTTAGTCAAAACTAGTTATCTCAAACAGAAACAATATGACTATCTGTCTGCCAAACCTGATTGTCGCGAGAGACATTTGTACACTTTGCCTAAAATCTATAAGAATCCAACCAAGGAGTGGTTTATCTCGAATAAAATCCCTAAAGGCCGCCCGATTATATCTGACTGTGGTAGTGAGTCATATGCAGTGTCAGAATACATTGATCATTTCTTACTACCTCTAGCATGCCAACATCGCGCCTACCTTAAAGACACAACCGATTTTGTCAATAAAATAAAAAATCTTCGAGTTCCCTCTAATGCTATTTTAATTTCTATCGACGTTTCTTCTATGTATACCAATATCGATAACACTACTGGTTTAACGGCAGTTCGTAAAGCTTTTAATAGAAACCCAGATCCAAACAGACCCGACGATGCAATTCTACAGCTTTTAGAGATTTGTCTTAGTCGAAACGATTTCACATTTAATGGTAAAACATATTTACAAACTTCAGGGACGGCAATGGGCAAACGATTCGCCCCTTCGTACGCAAACCTTTTCATGGCAGAGTGGGAACGTGAGGTGTTGCCCCTCTGTCCACTTGACCCACTTTTTTACGGACGCTTTTTGGATGACATTTTTATGGTTTGGACTTATTCTATCGAACAGTTTTGGGAATTC